TCTCCTCCTCTCCATCCCCTCCCCTCCTCCCCTCCTCCTCTCTTCCTCCTCTCCATCCCCTCCTCTCCTCCTCTCCTCTTCCTCCTCCTTCTCTTTTTGTGGTGCTGAGGATCCAACTTCAGGCCTCACATGTACCAGGCAAGCTGAGCTCCCCCAGCTCTGCCCCCTCTTCCTGGGCCTTTCTGCTCTGCCCTGGCTTTCCACTGATTGGACAAGGCCCCCTACCTGAAGGAAGGCCATCAGCTTTACTGTCCACCAACTCAAATGTCAATCTTATCCATGAACACCTACAGAAAGCCCAGAACGAGGACCAGGGCCACTCCCTGGCACAGAGGAGTAGCCCTTGTTCTCATAAAGGTATTTGTCCTGGGCCTGCTCCTTCCCTGAGCGGGTTGCAGCAGGTGCCAGAACTCTCCTCCATTTCCATCTAACAAGGCTGGACCACATCTGCTCCTCCTCATCTCGGTCGTCGCCTCTTTGGCTACCGAGGACATGCGTGTGCCTGTCTCTGAGGGCCTGCTTTGGTCCTTTCCAGTGTGCACCCAGAAGTGGAATCGCGGGTCACGTGGGCGAGATGCGTTTTGCTGCAGCTGCACACCACCCTCCAAAACCAAACGCAGATGTTTCCCTGACTCTAAGAAGACTTCTCCTTCCGGCTGAGGTGGTGGGTCAGGGACTCACCCTCTGCCCGGGATAACCAGAGAATGAAACCACCAGATGAGCTGCAGAGACGTGGCTTCCAACTCCCAACTCCCGCACACCAGGCATCTCAGGACAGGGGCCTGGGGAGGGGGAGCTCCATGCTTGTCCCAGCTCTCTGCCCTGAGGGCATCCCCAGGTGGTCCTAGTGGACCCCAGAGCCTGGGAGACCAAGGCAGCTCAAGTTTCTAGAACATCAGAGAGGAAAGGGCTGCTCTGAGAGAGCCTTGGAGATCTCCACAATCCCTGAGGATTCAGAGGACTGTCCACACCTGTGTCCAAGGACACTCCCAGTGTGGGTGAAGGCCTTTGGGAAGGGTGAGCAGGAGCAGCACAGAGCAGCTTTTCACCCCACACCTAGAGATCTCCAGCTGGGGGCTGGGGTAAGGGCCTGTGGGTGTACAGGTAATGAGCCCGGCCAGGCCTGCTCTGGACACGCCTATCAAACTGGCAAAGCAAGATTCCAAAGGACTGAACAGTTTCCAAGTCAATGCATCCCCAGAACAAAGCTCTCCAGCCGCAGGAATTCAGAAACACCCAGCACCAGCCAGGTCAAACAGCACGCCCACACAAGAGACAAAACCAACTACCACCCACAAAGCCACCAGGGCTGTCAGGGCAGCAGAGGACGGAGGACCGTTGTGGCCACACTCTATGGTTCAAAGTCGAGTAGAACCACAGTGAGACAGCACCCCACACCCTCAGGACAGACGGCTGCCTATGGACAGGAAGGAGGTAGATGGAAGGGAGGAAGCCCACAGGGGACGAGGAGGAACCCAGCCTCTCAGGCTGCTGTGCAGTCACGTTGGCCACACCTGTCCTTCCCAGCGACTCGGGAGGCTGAGGCAGGAGGGTGCAAGCTCAAGGCCAGCCTGGGCAACTCAGTGAGACCCTGCCTCCAAATAAAGACCTAGAGAGTGCTGGGGATGTTGCTCAGGGTAGACCCTGGTGTTACCGCTGTTGACCGGTGACGAGTCCTTGCTTCCCCGATGTTGAAGAATAACACCAAAGAAGCATGCTGGGGCAAGGTCAGAGTAGAAATTAGAAGTTTATTAAAGGACAGCAGAAAAGACTTCTCCCGGAGGAAGAAGGACCCAAGAGGTGGAATCCGTGGAAGTGCGGTTGTCTCCCCTTTTTGTAGTTTTGGTGATGGAATGTAGGTTGGAAGGCCCCAGGGGTGGGACACAGGTGGGCCAAACAAGTAGTCTGGGCAGGAAGGACTTCATTATCACTTCTTGGGATGGGCTATCTCCAAATCTGTTGGGGGCTGTTTCCTGGGTTCCATTAACATTTCTTTGGGGTGGACTTTGGACTACGGCCTTTCCGGGACTTCATTAACATTCCATGAGTTGTCCAGCCTTCTGGAATCATTCCCAGCATGGCCTCCATTTTAGATTTCACTCGGTATTAGACCCGATTTACCTAACTACACTGACTACCTAACTTTAAATCTGGCTTCACTGGGGACGTGGGCTACTGTCTCCAACACAACTAAAGAAGTCAAGATCAACAGCTCTGGAGACCCGGGAATCCCCAGTGCCCCCTGCAGACCCGCAGCCTCCTGCCCTACCATCGACTGCTCTCATTTCCATCTAAGGAAGGTGCGGGGACTCAGCGCCAGGGTCCTGACTGGTCTCTTCTGGTCTGTGATGTTTGGTGGTGGTTTTAGGTCTGCTTTGGGTCTCACGCGGAGGCACTGAAGCCTCAGGACCAGCTGGTAAGTTCAGGTAACTGGAAAGTGGGGAGCTGCAGGGAGCCCCTGTGCTGACCCTCAAGAACAGATTCCCACCAGGCCTGGAGCGTCCCAGAACGTTCCTGTGGCTGTATTTGATCCACACACACCTGTACCTCAAGGCACTAGGAGGCCCTTTTTAAAATTTTGAGAGAGGGACTTGCTAAATTGCCAAGGCTGGCTTCAAACTCACGATCCTCCTGCCTCGGCCTCCTGAGTGACTGGGATGGCAGGTGTGGCCACTCCTTCTGCCTGCCTCTCATGTGACCCAGCCTGCTTGGTAAAGTGCGTTTTATTTTTTATTTTATTTTAAATTTTCCTGTGGTTGTAGATGGACAGAATGCCTCCAGTTCAGTTTCATGCAACGCTAAGGCTCAAACCTAGAGCCCCACAACATGCTACGCAAGTGCTCTGCCACTGAGCCACAGCCCCAGGCCATGTTTTATTTTAGAATAGATTCAGACTCACCTTAAAGTTTCCAAGAGAAAACAGGAGCCCTGGTGCCCCAGCCCAGACTGTCAGGAGCTCCGCATCAGGGTGGTGCCCCCCATGATTGACACAGAAATGATGCTGACGAGCTGTTAACCAAAGTCTGGGCCTCACTCCCATCTCCCCACCTGGGCCTGATGTATGTCCCTTTTCCATCCCAGGGCCCCACACTGTGTGTCACCGTGTCCCTTGGGCTCCTTGGGGCTGTGAAGCTCCCGAGACTCTACAAGCCTGTGGCCTTGTGCTGGGCAGGCAGGTCAGGTGTTTGCAGAGGTCCCCCCGGGCGGTGTGTGCTAGCTCCTCACAGCTAGCCTGGGCGGTGGCCACAGTGGGAAGCCCCAGGTCGGGTCCTGTCAGGTGCAGCCCTCGGGACCCTGCCCGTGCCGGGGCGTGGGGGCTCTGAGCTACTCCCAGCCCATCCTCCCTGGAGGGGGGCCACCACATGGCCCTCAAGTGAGGAGAGGGGTGTGCTCAGTTACGTGGAAGTCCCTCCTGCGAGCGAACCTGGCCCATTGTCTCCCCCTTCTCAATCACTCCTTTGTGGCGGTGTGGACCAGGAGGCTGCTGTCCCCTGTGACCGACACAGCTCTTCTGTGGCTCAGCTGGCTCCAGCCCTGGCTGCTGCCAGCCCTTCGGGTGGCTCCAAGCCCCTTGCTGTCACCTTGGCTCTTGCTGGTTTTGATTTATCACACTCCTTCATTCTTGGCACCGAGAACCAGCCTTGCTCCAGGGGCAGCTTCCTCCCCAGGCCTGGGTGCAGGTGGCCTGTGGCTGTGGGTGTCCTAACTCCCAGCCACACTGCAGCCACCTCTGCCTGGCGAAGTCACACTATTCCACTCGAACCTGGGCCTTGCTGGCCTGTGACTCCCACTGCAGCAAGGCAGCCTGGCTCCTGCCTGCTGGCAGCCACAGCCTCCCACCCACCCAGGGGAAAGCCATGTCCCACCTTGCCCCTCGACCACAGCCCAGTGCAGCTGCCCTGAGGCCCAGGTCTGCTCCCCAGCTGGGCTGCGGAGTTTGGGGTCTTACCTCGGAGGCTTCTTCCGACACACCTGTGCTGACTGTGTGGGGCCGGTCCTAGGGACAGCCCTGGGGACCGTGACCCCTCCACCTTGAGTGTGGGCAGAACGAGCATCAAGAACGAGACTTTGCTGGGATGTCGAGAAATGTGACGCTGCAAAAGGGAGATGATCAGGGCAGAAGCATTTCCAGGGAGTGAGCCCCAGAAGCTGGGGAAGTCA